TTTTGTTAACTGTACCCCACTTAGGTTATATATTCCTAGCCCTAATACTCTATTGGATTTTCCTGCCCGCTCTGCATCCCCTCCCCTTTGGGAGGGAGACCCAGAGTAGAAAAAAAAAACCCAGAAAGGGTAGGGAAAAACCTTCTCAGAAGCCTCAATATCAACTTTTAAATCATGTTTTCAAAAGTAGCAATGAGGAATCAGGCAAAGCATGAGACAACAGGTCAGTTTCCATCCGCTGTTCTCCCTAGGGTCTTTTGTTTTTATTCTTTTAGAATTGAAAATTACCCCAGTGGTTGTTCAAAGGGTAACTAGACTTGGCCCTTGTTTACTAGTTATTCCTATTGGTTACTAGAGATAGTTATAGGGGTTAACCTACTGAGACCCCCAACTCCTGTATTTATACACTCAGTGTTGCCAGCAGACTTGAGAAAGGGGGATATATCCCCCAAACGCTTCATCAAGGCAACCCACTATGAGGTGTGGGAGTGACCTATGATTCACTCTGCCAGAGGGATGTCAGTATACCTTTTCACAGAGCCCCAGAAGGGATTGACAGACACTGGGTGACAGGGTGCTCTGTATAACAAACTTGCTGGTTAACAAAGCAGAGGATCGGGCCATGTGAGTATATTAATTTGTTAAAAGGGTGCTAACTTTAATAAAAGATAAAATATTCACCTGTCTAGAACACTAGCAATAACTGAAGCATGCTGGGAGTGGGAAGGTTCATATCTGGTAGCCAATGGCTTTTGTTGTTTGCCAGTGTCCAAATACTACTGAAGGAAACCGTTGTCAATTATTGACCCTGTGCCCCTTAATGAAAGTTTTAGCTGGACCTACACTTCAAAAGCTCAACTTCTGGCTATATTTAAAAAGAAAAAAAAAAAAAAAAAAAAATATATATATATATATATATATATATATATATAGTAAATCAACCCATCTCTTGCAGTAATAATTTCCACCAATAGATGTCCTTAGTCCTACAAGGCAAATAACCTCCAGTGTCATTCAGCCTGATGTTTGATGACATGCGAGTACAGGGTGTCACGGATCAGACTCAGGTAGGGATCATTACCGTACCTCCCATTCAGAGATGCAGAAAAGGACACTTATGTTGGGTCTGCTGCAATTCCTACAATCTGTGAGGGCCTCCCACCAACTTAAGATCTGAAGAGAAGAGGGCCTTCCAAATCGTGTGACCAGCAATGAGTCTAGAATTGGACTTTAGGGTATTCATTTTTTTTTCGCTGCCACAGACATATGGCATACACCAGCCACAATAGGGGGTTTTACTAGAACTGAAGGTGTGTAAATCTCAAAAGCCTACTGCTGGCTGTCAGGGGGAAGCAATTGGGCGCCTGTACAGCACCATACACATTGCCCAACCCTTACATACACACATTGGGGCATCTACATACAAAAATGTTGTTTGAGCTACAAGTTACATATTGCTGCACATGCTGTAATGAGCAATAATTCTACAGTTAACTCCAAACTGATGCTTTTAAATCATCGCCTATAAAAAAAAATAAAATAGTTGCATATTCACAGGCAGATGCAATTTTAAGACTTGACATAAGTATCTAATTATTCAGCACAGCTATTTATATTTTACAATTAAAATTCACTTTAGTGTATTTGACTAAAATTTTGACCATGATAAAATCGTTGCTCTAATATCACGTGACATTAAGAAAAAAAAATGCAACCACCGCCACTTTTTCTCTAGGGTCTCTGCTTTCAGAAGGTATATGTTTTGTTGAGGGTCTTAAAGTAATCTTCAGGCCTAAAAAAAAAACAAAACAAACAAAACAAAAAGCCACACAACCGACTCTGGCGGCAAAGGGTTACATGTGTGCTACAGTAGAGGTTTTCCCCACATAATACTATTCAGTATGCACCATTTTCCAGATCTCTTTTTAAGCTCCCTTTACATACACCAAGAAAGAATAAAGCATGAAATCACTAAGCAGTTATTTAGTTGGTGACAAAAACCTGAAGAAAAAGACAACAGAAAAACATGTGAGCTGTAATTGTTAATGATTTATTTTACTCATATTACATGAGTTAGGACAAATGGCATTTTTTAATATCCATAGGATTAATAGTCATATGGAGTATGCCGAGAAAGTGCTATATTAAAAACAAAAATAAAACATTTGATCACTTTGCACAAAACAAGTAAACACAAAGCACACAAGGTATTGTAAAAATATTGCACATTTCAAAGTGTTCCACAGCTTTAGCTGGCTTGTACAAATATGTATTGCTTGAATTGCCATGGAAGCGAACTTAACTCCCTCAATGTTGAAGGGAACTGGAGTATATTATGGCAAGACTAGCGCAGAGGACTGCAAAAAAAAAAAAAAAAAACTTTACATCTTTACATTTAGTGTTGACAACACCTTGAAATCCTAAGCTAAAAGTGGCCTCAAAGTGTTGTAAGGGTCAAGGTAGATGTGGCCTATAACAATGGTAATTCCATTGTCAGTTATTCTCAGACTTCACTACTTGGCAAATAGCTAACCTGCAAAAAGCATGCAGGGCAGATGGTCCTGAAACTTCATGTTACTTGAACAAGTTTTAATGGACAGCTGATATATTCCATCCCAATAGATTCTCTTTATTTGAAACCTTCCATATCTTCTAGAATAGATTTAAATTTGAACATTTAGCACAGCAGCCATATGTGACATATTACCTTATGCAAGCAGCCATTAAAAAGAGTGGGAAGGTGGCTGAAATGAAGACCGTAGTGCAATTTAATAGAAAATCTCCCTAAACTGTATAACTCTCAATACAGAGAACACCACAAGATATTTAAGGTATTTCAGTTTTCAATACATGCAAGTAGATTAATGCAGTCACTGGTGTACTGTATAGAACTTCAAACAGGAAATCTCCCCCACATTTACCAAACTTATGCTCCATTTTGTAAAACCAATGAATAGCAGTTAAGTCAAGGCTGCCTTGACAGAGACAGTGGGTACAGGAAAGAACAGGCAATCCTCAGACAGTGGGTGATTCAGCTTAAATGAAAAAAATAAGTTCTGATAATCATCTGCAATGATTGTTAAGGGATCTGTAAAAGCATTTTCTTTTGTTCCTTGCATTCCTTTTAGGTTTAAGAAACTTTGCAGTCCTCACCACAATTCTTGTCTTAAAGGACATCACCAAAAAATATTGTATTGTCAGAACTGTATAGGCCAGCAATGGGCAAACTACGGCCCGGCGGACCTTTTAATCCGGCCCGGCGGACCTTTTAATCCGGCCCGGCGGAGCTAGGCTCCTGCTAGGCTCCTCTCACAGTCCGCCCTGAAGACCGGTGTAGCATGAAAATCTGTCTCCTATGAGGATCTGTCCCCCTCGACGTATCTGCGCATGTGCCGGAGATAGCCGATCGGCTGCTAATGCCTGAAACTGACACATGCGCAGATACGTCGAGGGGGACAGATCTTCATAGGAGACAGATTTTCATGCTACACCGGAACGGCGCGGGAACACGGCGAGAGGAACGCGCGGAGCAAAGGTAAGTGAATTGACACAGGGGGGACTTAATATGGGGGATGAATTAATATGGGGGATGAATTACTATGGGGGGGATGAATTACTATATGGGGGGACGAATTACTATGCTTACTATGGGGGAATATTACTATACTTACTATGGATGACACATACACATCATTCATCTACTCTTGGTCCGGCCCCCGGGTCCAATATATGAACCCATTGCGGCCCTCAAGTCAAAAAGTTCGCTCACCCCTGGTATAGGCAATACATGTAAATGTACTATTCCATGTAAAAGTGTCTATTTATATGTTTCCCTTATTTACATGCAGACTAGGTGGACTAAAAAAAGTGTGTGACAAGATTTGGGAAAACCTAAACCACTGTCAGTGGCAAGCTCTAAAAGGTGACCTTTTATGTCCATGGTATACAATAAAAACCATGTTGCTGCATCTACTTAAGCCTTCCTTGGCAATGTCAGCTTATCTCAACCCATCATTTTTGTTGGTCAGCATATAAATGTGGGAAAAAAATGGCAGCGAAATAAAGAAAGTCCTATACTAAATATGAATTGTGTATGGTTATATTTGCAATTGTGGACTTTTAAATTTAAGTCTGGCACAGTTTGGGGCAGGTCTTTTAAACCCTTAAGCTTTTTAAAAAAGAAATACATGCTAAAAAAAAATCATCAACTACACAAATCAAACATGGCAACTCTTGCCAAAGTAATACCACTGACAGCCATAACATTCTCTTGTTTTGACAAGAAAAAGCCAAACTGAGAAACTGTAGTTAAAGTTTTAGGAGGCCTGTAATAAATGTAGAAAATAACTACATCTGCACTTGCACCTTAATCTCATGCTGACCATGTTTCACATGTGTGGCAGCAAGGAATGCATGCTTAATACCCACACTTCCTCCCCACATGTGACTATGGTGGCCAAGGTTTTTGCGCTGATAGCATGGTCCCAGCACAGTGACCAAACTCTTGCAGACTGCTCACCAATCTTTAATTATGATCAGGAGCCAATAGGATGTGACAGCCAATCATGTGACAGCCAATCATGTCATCAGGAAGCTTGTTCTGCCCCCTGGTGTAAAGACCCATTAGGAAATTAAGCAAAAAAAAAAAAAATGCAGAAAAGCAGCCTGAAGAAATATCGAGCTACTGGAACATACTAAATGCCACAAATTTGTTAAATTAACAAAGTGAGGAAATGTTACAACCGGTTTATCCATTTACAATTTCACACAGGTTCTTTGAAATCCTAAAATAAATTATCTGTAAGCAATGTAATTCTATAGCACCCTATTTCACAACATCTTCTGTAGATTACTGTGCATGAGCTAAGCATTTTCCTGCTATTTGCTGTATGTTCTCTTGAACTGCCCATTGGAGTACTTTTTAAATTGTAATATAAAGCTTTTATTGGTAGTTCATAGGCTCATGCGCAGCTTTGCAGAAGTAGAACTTCATGTGCAGATCACTGCCCTGAACAATCTGTGTATGTTGTAACCATATTTCCTCTTCGCTGAGTGACAGTTCTACAATGCTTGCTGGACCCCCGAAACCTCTGCTCAGTTCTTATATTGTGCCGTGGTGCATCCCCAAAGCTACCAAATGTAAACATTTTTTCCATATCTTCAAACATGTCATTAAATAAACCTCCGCTGAATGCAAAGTCATCAAAGTGACGCCTGTGCCTGCTAGAAGGATCCTGGTGGCTCCTAAAATGGTGGTTTTCAAAGTGTCTTTTTGATCTAGTGTGCTGACTCTCTCCGAAAAAGTCAAATTCTTTGAGGAGGTCTTCAAAATTGAAATTCTGGTGGAAATACTTTTCATTGCTGCCGCCGCCTCCTCCTCTTCCACCATTTGTAAAGGCATCATGGCCAAATTGGTCATACTCCTTCCGTTTATTTTCATCAGAAAGGGTCTCATATGCTGAAATGAGAAAGTAAACATTCTCAGAAAAGAAAATTTTTTTTTTTTTTTTTTTAAATATCCATCCATACTTTAAATGTACACGTATGCACAGATAAGGGCTCACTAGTGCTTGCTGCTGTGGGCAGTGCTGTAAAAAAGCATCGTGACCATGTCCTCCAGAAACAAAAGGTTGTGCTGAAAGCAAAATCATTATGTGTGTAAGGTGCAGTCAGTGCCGAGAACATCTAACTTCTCACCTGCCTGAAGTACTACTGCCTGCTAGGAGAAGTGGTTATACGACACCAAAATCTGGTGCAGAAGAAATCAGAATTACATAGCTGAAAATCATGTATGTGAGCCCCAAGGAGATTCAAAATAAAGTAACAGGGTTACTCATAGGATAATCTTAAAGCGGTTGTCCAGTCTCCTTAAAATAAATAAAAGTCAGCAGCTACAAAAACCAGCTGCTGACTTTTAAAAAGCAGCCACTCACCTGTCCTAGGATCCAGCGGTGTCCTCACCACAGCCATCTTCACCAGCCATCTTGTGTCCATGGAGCAGGAATCTTAAGTGCGGGCACCCAGCTGTGAGAGTTGGCAGCTTCACAGCCGGACACCCACTGCGCATTGTGAATGGTCCTGCAGTCCTCTGGGACCTGTCACGTGTCCCAGAAGACACTGGGGGGCCCAGGAGAACATCAGCTTTACAATATCCTAGGCGATCACAGTGTAAGTGAGAGTGGGTACCTCTCCCCACAGGTGCCAATCCTTAACGGGGAGTGGGGAGCAGAAGGAATTTCCCCTTTTGAGTGGAGTTCCACTTTAAGGTAAAAAGGAAGCCATCAGAACATGGAAATTGGAGATGCCAGTTCAAGGTGCATATTTCTGCATAGAAAGAGCAAATGTTTGGCACCGATGCAACTTGATAAATTGAGACTACTAGTAATCAAACAAGACAAAGGAATCCATTATGTGGTAAGAATGACCAGTTTCAGCCTCAACCTTTGGCCCTTCGTCAGTAAGGCCCAAAGGTTGGGGCTTAATATGCATTAATCTTGCCACAATTCTTTTATGTCTTGATCGATTACTAGTAACGTCTCAATTATTTTATCTCACGTAGCATTGGTGCTGGATTTTTACTCTTTTTATGATACTCAACGGTATTGTACAATATATATCCTGGCACAGACAACTAAACCTTATGCTGCATACTTGGTGCAAGGATTTGCAGCAACACAAATCCCTTTCCCCTTTGGAGATTTCTGCACACATAAAATGTTTCATCACTTCACTGGCTGCATCACATGTTCGGGGGCAGATATGCCACCAACATGACATCCTCAAAGCCTGCAACTTTAAAGCCAAGCCAGCAGTTAAAAATGTCAGAATTTTTTTTCCCAGAAAGCTTCTATTAACCACTTGCTAACCGAGCTATAGCCAAATGATGTCTACAGCACGGTTATCCAATTCTGGGAAGGCGTCATGTGACAACCTCCCAGAGCGCGCCCCCGGTGATCTCCATGAGCTCGAGGTACTACGGAACACGACACAGCAGATCACTGAGTAAATACAGTTGCTGGTTATTGGCAGCTTTCCTCACGCTGTCACAGCATGAGGAAAACACTACCGATAACCGGTAGCTGTCACAGAGCAGATCGGCACTGATCATCAAGGCCTGATGATCAGTGCTCTGCAGTGCCGCCCATCATTGCAGCAAAATCAGTGCCTCCTCATCAATGCCGTCTCATCACTGCCCATCACTGCTGCCTATCAGTGCAGCCTCATCAACACGCATCAGTGAAGGAGAAAAATTACCTGTTTGCAAAATTTTGTAATAGTAATAAAGACTTTTTTTTAGAATTTTTTGTTTATAGCACAAAAATAAAAAACACCCAGTGGTGATTAAATACCAAACAAAAGCTCTATTTGTGTGAAAATAATTATAAAAATTTCATATGGGTACAGTTTTGCATGACCATGCAATTTTCAAAGTGCAACAGTGCTGAAAGCTGAAAATTGGCCTGGGCAGGAAGGGGGTAAAAGTGCCCCGTAGGCAAGTGGTTAAATATAGAAATTATTTCAAGTACCAAACTTACCTTCAGCTATTTCTCGAAATTTAGCCTCTGCATCAGGGCTTTTATTTTTATCAGGATGATACTTCATTGCAAGCTTGTGGAAAGCTTTCTTGATCTGTCGCTCTGAAGCATTTTTTGGGACCCCCAAAATATCATAGTAAGTCTTTTTTGCCAATATAACTTCAGATATTAATAAGATACAAACAGCAAATGTGAGCACAGATTGAGCCGAAGCCATCACTGAGGTCCCTGCAAAAGAAACAAGGTATGTCATCAACTGCATTGCTAAAGTAACGTATATTTTTGCCAAAAAAAACCCTCAACTTTCATACTTCCTGCTCACTGGAGAGCTCATCTCCAACAGGGGGGTTTGCTGGACCTGTGCAGAGAAACAACTGCTTCCACACCCAATAAGGCTTCATCTCTGCAGCATACTAACAAGGGGCAAGATTTTCCACTAAGTGGAAGAAAATAAACAAAGACTTCACAGCTTTTGTTTTGATGCACCTGGAAAGTATTTAGCTAATTTTTAACTGAAGCTCAGTTGAGCTTTAATGAAAAGAGTCACTGTCAGTTCTGTGAATGATTGCTGGAGTTATCTTTATGCACAGTAATTGGCTTTCATCACTGTCAATCATACTGACAACAAAACTATAACCTCATTGGTATCTATGGTAGACCATCTGTGTGAAGAGAACCTGTGAGGACCTTATGTGGGCTGCCATTGCTGTCCTCTTGTGAAAATGCTGGTTGCTTAGCCAGCCAACAGGTATGCCGATTAAGAATCTGACCGCATGTTCGTTCCAGTTTGTGGATTCAGAAAGGAATTCAGAAAGCACTGAAGACAAATGCAGCTGAGCAAATAACATTTCCAGAAGTAGGTCTAAAATGGCAGTCTCCATATTTCTCTCAGTACAATGCTTGCTTCAAATCCCATCTCACTTGTACAGGGGAACTGCATTGAAAGAATGAAATGAGCATTTATGTCTAAGGCAGGGGAAGTTTTATGTATCTGATGCCCCAGCAGACAACGCTCTCCAATGTTCCAGCTATGAACTATCACTTGGAGAACTCATGTCCAATGCAGAGTGATACACAATGCATTGTACTTTAGGACATCAGGGGACCTGTGTTCTCCAGAGTATAGAGAAGAGCCTGCGGGGACCGGTCCTGCATCCTGGAGGGAGTCTACGAAAGTGGACGACTTGTTAAGACAGGTACCTTTGACAAACAAGCGGTTAACCCATGCAGTACATAGGCAGCTACACTTAAGGGAGTATTTTTGTTTTTCTCCATAGTAGTTTTAACCTCTTGCCAACCTAAAGTACTAGTAAGGCAATAAAGCAGCCTCTGTCCGCTGGATCATGTACCTAGTACGTGATCCACACACCTACCGGCCTGACTGTGCTGTGATTCATTACAGCACAAGCCAATCAGCGGGTCTTGGCCAAAGATTGACCACCAGGACCCGCTGATCAGTGATTCATGGAACAGAGCTCTATGATTGTAAACAATACAGAGCTCTGTTCACCAACCAGGAATCTTGCCATTTTTTTATTCCCTGCTATGCAAGGAAAAAAAAAAAAACAAGATTCTTAGTAAAAGCTGCACATTATCACACACATTACACATTCTTAGGCAAACATTTAACCCACTGATCGTCTTAGAGGTTAACCCCTTCCTACCAGGTGTCATTAGTACAGTGAGTGCATATTAATATTGATCACTGTATTAGTGTCACTGGTGAGGTCAGTGGCAGTTAATCAGTTTTCCCCCCCAGTATCAGTGTCAGACTGCCTACCGCAGTCCCATTATAAGTTGCTTATCTCCGCCATTAGTAGTATAAAAAAAATATTCCAGAATACACCCCATAGTTTGTAAAAGCTATAACTTCAACATAAACCAATCTACACTTTTTTCTACCAAAGACATGTAGCAGAATACATTTTGGCCAAAATCGATTAAGACATTTGATTATTTATTTTTTGTATTAGATGTATTGCATAGCAGAAAATAAAAATATTTAAAAAAAAAAAAAAAAAAAATCAACCCAGCGGTGATCAAAATACCACCAAAAGAAAGCTCTATGTGTGTGGAGAAAAAAAAAAAAAAAACAATACAAATTTCCTTTGGGTACAGCATTGCATGACCGCACAATTGTCAAAGTAGCGCAGTGTAGAATAGCAAAACATGGCCTGGTCATGAAGGGGGTAAAACTTTCCGAAGGGCAAGTTGTTAAAGCAGACCCAAAGTTAGCTTACATATTTTATACCTATGAGATCAGAGAATCAATGTAGCGCCTTCTGCTATTACATTGATCCTGTCTTCTGGGTCCTGTGCCAAGCAGTTGCACTGCTACATAGTAACTATGTGCTATGCCATTCAGAGAACTCCTGGCCTTTTTCTCAATGAACACTAAGGGCTCCAAGACTGGAAAAGGAGACTTTGATGACACCACCCTGCCCCCTCCATCTCACCCAAACAGAATGCAAGGAATTCTCTGTATGCCAAACAAGCGACCCTCTCTGTGGTTACTGTGCAGCAGGGCATCTGCTCAGCACCAAACCTGGAAGAAATCAAAGATTATTGTTGCAGTGGTGGCTACTACAGCAATTATCTACTTCCACAGGGATCACACAGGTATAGAATATGTCTTACATTGGTCCATGTTGGATCAATGTAATTATGAAAAAATAGAATTACCTGGAATTCTGCTTTAATGGACAAGTAGGACCAAAGCTCTTTTGGCCATACTTCTCCTGTGGGTCACAGGAGTGCACTTAGATCTGCAATCCTGTGACACGTAATCAGCTGACAGCGAGCTAAAGTCCATTGTTGATGGACGTCACTGAGCTGGTCCTGACTCCGGAGAGATACTGACCTTAATGTCGGGATCCACCTAGATTCCTGACCAGCTCATCCTGTCAGCGCACAACTCTCACTCCTTCTACAGCCCAGCGCTCTGGTGAGTGCTGCAGGGGCAGAGCAGAGAGCCCGTGAGTGACAAACACCAGCTCTCTGTTCACCGAAGTTCAAGAACTGAGCAATCAGTGGTCTCTGATCACTGAGCTCTTGGTCTTAGAGGTGGCATGGGACTAATGCTGCAGCCACTTTTTTTTCCAAATGCTGAAGTTCTCTTTTAGGGCTTGTTCTCACCATCATACAAAGACGTCAGGTTTTCAGCATGCGTTCCGCAAGGGCACAACAAAATCAATTCTTCTCTATATTCCCTGTCCATACCATAACACTAGTATCACCTGCAGATTTTTTCTGTACAAGAATCAGCAATATGTAAGAGTTCGTTCACACCATACATGCATGAAAACTTACGCAGATTTAACTTGCAAAGACATCAGTTTACATGCACACTTCAATGAGTTTTATACACATTGCAGAATCCTGTGCAGAAATAAAATGTACATGTCCCACTGACCCCAACAATGGGGCATAATTCTGCCCACTGACACCAACAGTGGTGTACAACAGCTCCCAATGACCTCAATTATGGGTCATGATTCCTCCCACTCAATGACACCGATGACGGGACACAGTTGCTCCCAACAACGGGACACAGTTTAAGAGCAGGGCCCTCAATCCCCTCATGCTTTGCATTGTATTGGTATTGTTCTGTCACATGTTCTGTCCCCCTTTGTAATGTACAGCGCTGAGCAAACTATTGGCGCTTTATAAATACTGTATAATAATATTCCCACTGATGCCAGGACATTGCCTATGGCTCCCCCCTGAAGTCTGAAGGTCAGTAAAGTGTCCCTTTGTTTAGAATGTTTGGAGACCCCTTGTCTAGAAGTTCAGATGTAACCCAACAACTGATCACAAGGGATCCCATTCCAACGACGGGACACCGTTCATTCCCACTGATGCCAGGACACTTCCTATGGCCACCCCCTGAAGTCTGAAGGTCAGTAAAGTGTCCCTTTGTTTAGAATGTTTGGAGACCCCTTGTCTAGAAGTTCAGATGTAACCCAACAACTGATCACAAGGGATCCCATTCCAACGACGGGACACCGTTCATTCCCACTGATGCCAGGACACTTCCTATGGCCACCCCCTGAAGTCTGAAGGTCAGTAAAGTGTCCCTTTGTTTAGAATGTTTGGAGACCCCTTGTCTAGAAGTTCAGATGTAACCCAACAACTGATCACAAGGGATCCCATCCCAACGACGGGACACCGTTCATTCCCACTGATGCCAGGACACTTCCTATGGCCACCCCCTGAAGTCTGAAGGTCAGTAAAGTGTCCCTTTGTTTAGAATGTTTGGAGATCCCTTGTCTAGAAGTTCAGATGTAAACCCAACAACTGATCACAAGGGATCCCATCCCAATGACGGGACAACGTTCATTCCCACTGATGCCAGGACACTTACTATGGCTCCCCCCTGAAGTCTGAAGGTCAGTAAAGTGTCCCTTTGTTTAGAATGTTTGGAGACCCCTTGTCTAGAAGTTCAGATGTAACCCAACAACTGATCACAAGGGATCCCATCCAACGACGGGACACCGTTCATTCCCACTGATGCCAGGACACTTCCTATGGCCACCCCCTGAAGTCTGAAGGTCAGTAAAGTGTCCCTTTGTTTAGAATGTTTGGAGATCCCTTGTCTAGAAGTTCAGATGTAACCCAACAACTATCACAAGGGATCCCATCCAACCCAAAGCTCAGCACAGCAATGTTACTGACACCGAGATCTGCCCAGTCCTAGACACCTCAGTGCAGCCTCAGGCATGGAGAGCATGTAAATCCATGAACGCTGGAATCCTGCACACAACACACTCACCCGAGCACAAAGCCAGTAGCCCAGAGCAAAGCAAAGGCAACTCACAGAGCGATAGACCCTTGTAAAGTGCCAGCACTGAGCAAAGCATAGCCACCCCCATAAAGGCTGCCGAGCTCAATCACTTACCCAACTCCCGTACTGCCGCGGCCGCCCAACAGCTCAGGACTTATCTGCTCTGAACCCCAGTCCCGCCCACTCAGCCACCAGCTGCTCGGCTACACGACACACTACGCTATTGGCCGCTGCCTCACCACGTGACCTTAGGCGCACGTGGAAGGCTGTTGTTACTTACGGGCTGGAGGAGGGGGCGTTACTTCCGCTGACAGGACCTCGCGCTCTGGTAGAATGTTGGAGATTCCAGAAGCCGTGTGCGTCAACGGACGCGGGAAAGTCAGCTGAAAGGGAAGGGTGGGCGGAGCTATGAAGTCAAAAAGGACGCTACGGTT